ATATTACTGTTACCTACAAGACCTTTTTCTGCAGCTATAGAAGACATACTACTGTTACCTACAAGACCTTTTTCTGCAGCTATAGAACATATACTACTGTTACCTACAAGACCTTTTTCTGCAGCTGTAGAATTGTTTGAATGAAATAATTGTATGTGTGGTTTAAAAAATAACAACGTAGAATTGTGACATATTTACATGAAAGTTCATGGACGATCTTTTTCTTCCAGAAACATATACAATAATCCACCACCACATACAGAAAACCCGTTTTAATTTTAATACCTTTATCGGTGGTCTGTACACAGTTGGGAGAACATATATATTTGTGTTCACACACACACACACACACAAATAATATCATTGTGTTTCTAAGATTTTATATTTGTTTCTCGGGTTTTTGTGAAATTTATTTATTCTAGAAACCTTTTAGTATGAGTTTTAAATAACAGATGGCGAAATTAATAGAGAAGCTATGTAAATATGTTTTACTTGCTTGTATTATGTTTAACTCGAAGTAAACCAAAGTCTGTTCTTCTGTATATACATGTATATTTAAGAATATTATTGTAGTTACAAAGGTATTGATTTTACAATAATTAACATTTTACTATTTTAAGCATTGAAAAGTTAATGCATTAAAGCAAAATCGAAGAATGATTTATAGAAGAACTTGTCAAACTAAATGTTTGTATGTACGAATAAACAAGTAAATAGGAATTCTTAAGGTGAATAAAGAAGGTTGTCCAGATATATATGTAGTTTCTACATATAATCATAAAGTAGCTGGAATTTTTTGAAATATTTGAATATTTTAATGAAGTTAAAAATTTACAATTTGATAAAAATGTCTATTGTGTAAGTTTTGTTGTGGAAGATATGTACACTAATATTCTTTTAAAATATACTTTACAATTAACAGTTTACTTTTTATATCAAAACGAAGATTTCCAAGACGTTGTTACGTCTCTGTTCGTTTGTTAATTTCCCCTAAAAATTCTTACCGAGGAACTTCAGCGATACAAGTCCTTTCTTAAATAAAACTAGTTTATTCTTTCTCAATTCAACTTAGCAGTACACTTAATTTCCACAGTCACTTTAACTTAAACATACGTTAGAATTCACAACGATTCACGCACTTTACTTACGGCTTGACTCGATTATCTGTCTCTATCTCTTCAATCCGCAATTATTCCGATTATTGCCGTCACTTTATTTGCCGGCTTATATACAATAAAAGCGCTTATCTAGCAAACGCTAGGACGTTCGACAGGTACCTCGATCTTTGTAGAACTTCAGCGTATGCTCCCAGCGTCGCGTGACTTCCGCTGTCGTAACAACGTGTTTCAGAAATCTTGAGGAGTTATACTACTAAGGAACCTTATTTTATATTCAATACCAATATCTATAATCAGATTGGCAGAATTACAATGTGATGAAGATTATTTAAAAAAATATCATAGTAATCAAAATAATAATATATGATTTACTGTGGAACATCAAAAAGAATATCAACTTGCTTTCCTTCTTACATTTGTGTATAATAATAATAATGGTAATTTCTAATGTGAAGTGTATCATAATAAGAAATTTGAAGTATATATTTTACTAGTTGGTTCCAGAGTTCTTTAAAATAAATGTAGTTAAAACATTAATTCATCGTGCTTATAGAGTAGTTTGCGTGTATGAACATTTTTATAAGGGATTAAAGAACATTTCAATATTTTCATTTTTCCTTCAAAATGGCATAATTTAGATTTTCATACATAATTGTTTAAATAACGTTAATGTTATTCAACAAATATAATTTAATGTTCCAAGACAATCTTCCCGTGAACGTAATCTACTATGTTTGTGTCAGTGTGCCTGTTAGCATCCATCACCCACAGTTGGCTGGTTCGATTACCGTCATTTTTTGTTGTTATTGAATACTGTCCGACAGTGTACATGGGCAACTTTCTTGCCCCAAAAAGGAGATAAAAATCCTAAAATAGGGCACAGTTCTACTTTTTTACAAGCTCTTGGTTTTGAATTTATAGACACAAGTACTTAATCAGTTAAAAAAGTCAATTATTATTATCTTCCACAAAGCAGAGTATGAAATTAGCATCTAATAAGGTCATTAGCGATTTTAATAACAATAGAAGGAAGA